ATAGACAGAAAGGGTTCTAGGGTTCAGGCGTGAGAAAGGAAATGAGGAATTGGGTTTATGCATGAGAAGACAAATTAGGAAAATAAATTAATGAAGCAAACAGTAAATGGGCACACATTCTTAGGAACAGTGTCCATATAGAATCACTCTTTTATTATATTATACTAGTGTCGGACGTGCGTTGCACGACTCGACGTCAAGTGTATGTATTGGTAACGGTTATGTTGGGATAATTTTTAATCTACCTTCTTTACCATATCCCTGAAATCCCATTAGAAACTTTTAATTCATTCTAAGAGACTCAAAGATTCATGATAAAGAATTTCATATTGACAAGGTCATAACTCCTGTCTTTCGCATGCTGAGAAGGAAAAGCAAGCATAAATTCTTTAGAATTGGGAAGAGGAACTTCACGAAAATATGGACAAGGTCATAACTCCTGTCTTTCGCATGCTGAGAAGGAAAAGCAAGCATAAATTCTTTACAATTGGGAAGAGGAACTTCACGAAACCATTCATGATTGAGAGCCGTTTCAGCAATAATCCATTGCACCATTACCACATACACAATTAGGGATTTTGACAAATTATTTAATCAAGTGTATATATGAACTATAAAATATCTTCTGAGGATCATAAGTTAAAAGCTTGGTTAACAAATCAAATCCAGCTTCCGAAAGTACTGGTAATAGAAGTGGCAGGAAATTTCCTAAGCAAAGGATTGTATCTAAACGGAAACTAAGACTTTTATAAAGAAAAAAGGGTATTAAGGACACATTTGAATCTCAATATAAATTTGAGACCAACATACAATGAGTGCCTACAACATCTTCGAGAAATCCACTAAAGATGCTGTGGTCACAAGGAGATTCGAAGATCACTCGACCTGGTCCGTTCACTCCAGATGAAAAGAATAAGGCATCTAAACAACTATTTGCACCACCTTTAAAGAAAGCTTGGAAAAACGAAATTCACTGCAGTGCATTTATTGTGGCCTCTTTTAAATGTTTAGGTTTGAATACTAAGATGTAAATACAAATACTCGAATTTGAAATTCTTACCACCGTTGGAAATTAATCAAATTGCTTATCTCCAAAGGAATATCAACTGAAAAGAACAAACTATAGTCACAAGGATGGCAACTTCACTCGTTGATGCACCACCTACAAATCCAGCAACCGAAGGTATTGTTTTTCAATTGGGCTACAACACAATCAGCCAAAAATAAAACTAATTGATATATAAATAAGTCAATCATCAATTCCTTCACTTAATTATGTGAAGACAGGGAATCATTACAAGAAATAAATCATGACATCATTTCAAAACAAAATAGCTAGCTTTTTAGGAACATATTTATCTCAATCCGCTCTCTGAACTTCAATTCCTTTTCTTCCTCTATTTCTCCTCAATTTCTCGTTGCCAAACCCAGAGAATGCGTAAGCTTTAATACATCTCAAAATCAGGAGAAATTCTAAACTCCCGCATGTTAGAACTTCATTAAAACTTAAACTTTATGAACTTGTCAAGATTTTCATGTCAAATCATCAAGAAATTAAATTAGCGCGAAACATACCTTAATCAATTGATTTCTAACTTGAATAATGAATCTTGAATCTGGATCTGTAAATCTTCAGTTTGGTTGCTTCAAATCTCCATCTTAATTCCTGATTGTGGTTTTTATGGATCTTCCTCTTCATATGCTTTCTCTTGTATTCTTGTGTTGATGGGATGCCA